TCTTCAAAGAGTGTAACAGTTTTAACTCATAACAGGTCTTTGGTCCATTTTGAGTTATCTTCCAAACTCAAATATGACAGGAAGTAAGGCGATATCTTCATTCTCTTGCACAGACAGCTATCTTGGCACCATTTGTTTGAAAAAAATCTTTCTCCACTGAATTGTCAGTAATCAAATGTCCATAAGTTTATTTCTAGACTCTCAATTCTATCACATTGATCATATGTCTGTGCTTATGCCAATTCCACACTGTCTTTTCTTTTAACCCCACCCTCCACACTGTCTTGATTACTCACTTTGTAGCAAGTTTTGAAACAGAGATATGAATCCTATGAATTTTAGGATCAGCTTGTCAACTTCTCCAAGAAAGCCAGCTGGGATTTGATACAAAAATTGCATTGAACTTAGAGAGTGATCTGAGGATTACTGCATCTTTTTTTTTTTTTTTTTTTTTGAGATGGAGTCTCGCTCTGTCTCCCAGGCTGGAGTGCAGTGGCGTGATCTCAGCTCACTGTAAGCTCCGCCTCCTGGGTTCATGCTATTCTCCCGCCTCAGTCTCCCTAGTAGCTGGGACTACAGGTGCCCACCATCACACCCAGCTAATTTTTATGTATTTTTAGTAGAGACAGGGTTTCACATGTTAGCCAGGATGGTCTCAATCTCCGGACCTCGTGATCCGCCTGTCTTGGCCTCCCAAAGTGCTGGGATTACAGGCGTGAGCCATCGCGCCCGGCCGGAATACTGTACCTTAACAACAGGTAAGTTTAATGTCTTTGAGGTTTTCTTAAATGTCCATTGTCAGGTCAAGAAAGTTCCACGTTAGTCGTAGTTTTTTCAGTGTTTTTATTATGAAGGGGTGTTGAATCTTATGAAGAGCTTTTCCTGTCTATTGGGACTATCATGTAGCTTTTGATAAGCGAGATTAGATTAATTGGTTTCCAGATTTTTAAACCAAACCTGTATGCCTGAAATAAATCCAATAGTCATGATGTATAATCATTTGTTATATATTTCTGATTCCATGTACTTACATTTCACTGAGGATTTTTATGTCTATAATCAAAAGATACAGGTCTTTGGTTTGTTTTCTTGTAATATATTTGTTTGGTTTTGGAGTGTTGAAATTTGGGGCCAAATAATGTGTTCCGTAGGGATATCCTGTGCATTTTGGGATGTTTAGCAGCATCCCTGGCTGCTAGCCATTAGATGTCATTAGAGCAGCTTATATATTAAGCCATTTCTTTCACTAGTAAGTAAAGGTAATCACCACATGTTATCATTCTGTTATCATAAGAAGTTTTCTTTAAAAAAAAGGTTTTACAGTTTATCTTGGGTGGATTTTCTCACTCTTTCCTGAAATTTCCACTATCTTTTTGAAGTTGTGACCACTCCAAATAAAAACTATCCAAAAGGACAAAAGCACTCACTTCTAACAACAAAAAGTTGATTCCTTTGAATTTCATAAATTTAGGCATCAGGTTAATTCTGTCATAATAAATATCTAACACCCTCACATTCTATTTATTTTGTTTTTTTGTGTTTTTTTTTTTTTGAGACAGAGTCTCGCTCTGTCGCCCAGGCTAGGGTGCAGTGGCCGGATCTCAGCTCACTGCAAGCTCCGCCTCCCGGGTTTATGCCATTCTCCTGCCTCAGCCTCCCAAGTAGCTGGGACTACAGGCGCCCACTACCTCGCCCGGCTAGGTTTTTTTTGTATTTTTAGTAGAGACGGGGTTTCACCGTGTTAGCCAGGATGGTGTCGATCTCCTGACCTCGTGATCCGCCCGTCTCGGCCTCCCAAAGTGCTGGGATTACAGGCTTGAGCCACCGCGCCCGGCCTATTTTGTTACACCATTTTTCTTTGAAACAAACTTAAAACTCTCAAAATAACTTTAGAACCTAAAGTCTGCCTTAACAAAACTTCACTTAAATCATCCTTAAGAACAATTCCTGAAATGGCATATTTTCTCAGACTACCTAAAATTCTACTGTAATGGCACAAGGGCCTTTAAATAAATACGTATCACGATTTTAATGAAACATGCAGCAATGTTTGTGAAAGAATTTGCTAAACAAGCCAATTCAAGTGAACTTTATTTTCCCCTTGATAACACAGCTTTTGAAATAAAAGTCCAAAACTTCAGCAGCATAAGGTATGTTTATAAAGTAATGCAACTGAATTTTTCATCTACAAGGAGAAAATTCATTTTTCCAAAGTAATCACCTTAAGAAGCAACTGGGTGCGGTGACTCACGCCTGTAGTCCCAGCACTTTGGGAGGCCGAGGGGGGTGGATCACAAGGTCAAAAGTTCGAGACCAGCCTGGCCAATATGGTAAAACCCCGTCTCTACTAAAAATATAAAAATTAGCCGGGCGTGGTGGTGCGTGCCTGTAGTCCCAGCTACTTGGGAGGCTGAGGCAGAAGAATCACTTGAACCCGGGAGGTGGAGGTTGCAGTGAGCCAAGATCATGCCACTGCACTCCAGCCTGGGCAACAGAGCGAGACTCTGTCTCAAAAAAAAAAAAAAAAAAGCAGCAACATTATTTTTGCAAAATATAAGAACTATAGAATTACTCTTTTAGAATGATCTTCAGAGTCAAATTACATGCCACTCATAAACACAACATTTCATTTTTAAGCAAAACTAGAGTACCAGTTTGATCACCATCTTCATTAATTAATCTTGGTTTCCAATGACCTTTTGGCAATTTCCAGTGAAATACACCCTCACAGAACAAAGAATTCCTTCCTTCTTTCATTCATCCTGTATTAATACTATATATAATAATAATAATATATAATAAAAGCCTACTAGGTGCCAGGCTTATGCTGGATGCTGGGAATATATACAAAGGGGAGCACTTTATGTCTTTTGGCTTTGGCTCCATGGAAGTACCCAACAGGTACATTATATCATACACTAAGTCACCAGCAGAGCCAGTTTCCTGACCATCCTCCACCATCAATTGTAAGAGGCAAAAAGTTCAGCTTCTTTCAATTTATCAAGAGGTTAACCTTCAGGTAATTTGAAAAGATGCTATTTTAATTTCAGTATATATAGACATCTTGTTTTATTGTTTGGTATTATTCTTACTTTGAATTAAATATGAGGAAGACAGGCCGGACGCAGAGGCTCACGCCTATAATCCCAGCACTTTGGGAGGCCAAGGCGGGCGGATCACTTGAGGCCAGGAGTTCAAGAACAGCCTGGCCAAACCTGTCTCTACTAAAAATACATAAAATTAGCTGGGCGTGGTGGCATGCACCTGTAATCCCAGCTACTCGGGAGACAGAGGCAGGAGAATTGCTTGAACCCAGGAGGTGGAGGCTGCAGTGTGCTAAGATCGCACCACTATACTCCAGCCTGGGCAAGAGCGCTAGACTCCATCTAAAGAAAAAGAAAAAAAAAAAAAAAAAAAAATATATATATATATATATATATGGGGAGGACACATCTTTCCAGGTCCAAATTCATTTGCTTCTGAACACACCAGGGCCTGATTTTTAAGTTAGTTTCCTTACTCCAACATTAATACTTCTCTGCTTGGTGATATAGAACAGAAACATAAGTCTTAATGGGCAAGCTATTTATCACTAATTCTACCTCACTTACAGGGTCCCTATCATTAACAAGTCAAACTGGTAGGTAGCTTGTCACCCCTTTTTTAAAAAGCCCCAACACAGCCAACCATATAGACTGATCTCTTTAATAAGTTTATTTTTGGAGCTTAAAGTAGAATCCAATGAGGGTATAATGCCGGGCTGACACGTTTTAAAATAAAACATTTTGGCCACACTAAAAAATGTCCAGATTAATACAATACCCAGGTTCAGAAATGAAACATCAGTTGAACTCCACTATGCCACATCCATCCCCAATCTTTACTCCTTTCCCTTCTTCCTCCTGGAAGAAACCCTGCTTCTGAATTTTCTGTCATTCCCCTGCATGTTTTCACTTATTCCCTAAGTACATATATATTCTTAAGCAGTATAGAGTACGATTTCACATGTTTCTAACTTCATATAAAGGTATGTACTGTGTGGCCTTCAGCAACTTTATTTTTGGCTTAATATACTGTTCATGAAATTTAAGTATTGGTCATATATTAATAGCTCTAGTTCATTCATTTTCACTGCTGTATAACATTACATTGCATGAATATAGCACAAAGATCCCTGATGGGCATTTAGATTGCTTTTAAATAGGATAAAATTGTTTCCAGAGAAATGATACTCTGTTCTAGTACCACACGGGAGAACACACATCAAAGACATTACAAAAAGAACCCCAAGGAACCTGCCTTTCTTCGACTCTCTCCAGCAACCTTGAACCAGCACCACTTCCTTGTTTCCTAGTTAATTTATATTCTGTCATTTTGCTGAGATAGCACCCATCTCCCCTCCCACCTGTGCAGAATGGGACAGAGCTGATGTATCCCGGATCAATATAATGGAGGGTGATTCTTGACAGAGCCAAAGAAGTGGCTGGTGAAGGCGGAATGTAAAAAGACAAGAAAAGTATCCTACTACTTTTTTCTGTTCCACTGGTTATTAAACAAGTATTTTCCTAGAATGTCAATTGTGAGCTTTTAAATTTCCAAAATCCACAGTTAATCACTCTTGTAAAAAGCTGTGTTAGCAGCTGGCCCTTTTCTCTCTAACTTTATGGTCTATGAAATAAGAAATGAAACCAAGAATAAGAAAGGTGGTAAAATTTTATGAATGCTTTTTAATACTATTTCTGGATCCGTTAGTATAAAGCAGAGTTTTGTAGTCAAAACTATAATATATCAAATAGCTACCATGAATACAATTTATTTGACAGAATTCTATCAATATATTTTTAATATTCTTCAGCAACAATACCAAACAGCTCATCCTTGCACCCTAGTATTCTATCAATAGCAGGCAAGCTTCTCTAAGTGTAGTACTACCAAATTCAATTTAAGAAATGTTCATAATATAGCCTCCCCCTTTTTGTAATTTTGGAGGAATCACTCACTCAGGTTTGGAGAGCATTTTTTCCAAGTTGAATTCTTTGAGGTATTTTATGATGGCAGCCAAAGAGCAAATCACAGGCTTCTCTAAGTTAACAATGCCAGAAATAATTTGAGAACCTAGAAAACAGAATATATTAACTTGTTATTAAAAAAAATTTTTAATTAATCAAATTCGAAAATGTAATAAATAGAATCATTAACTTATTACCATTATGAAACACAAATTTTAAGTAAAACTTTATGGTTATTGAAATAGTAATTTAGACAGTATCTCCTAAAATTGACCTTTGGAAAAATGTAAATCATTACTAATACCCAGGGCATGGAAAAAAGGGGCATTTTTCTGATGGTGGAATGAACCTTTTTTGGAGAACAGGATATTTTTTCAAAACATAAAATGTCCATCCCCTTCGCCTAGAAATACTCCAAACTGCATGTCGAGGATGTGTGTACAAGGAGGTGACTTGAAAAATCTTTTGGAGTATTAAAAAAACTAGAGGCCACCTAAATCAACATTAACAGCATAGTACTTAAGTAAAGCTTGGTAAATCCTGGTTATTATGTACCAACTAAATGGAATGACTTCCAGTTATCTGCACTGATACGGAAGGCCATCTATAACATGTTGCTAAGTGGGGGAAAAAAGTTGTCTGATCATTTTCATGTCTCACCACAAACACTGCAACAGCTTTCCATCTGGTCTCACTGCTTCATCCTTGCACCCCACAGGGTATTCTTAACAGAGCAGCCAGAGTAATTCTTTTTAAAATGTATATCAGATCATTAGACTATTTTGCCCCAAAGTCCTCCAACATCCCCCAACTCATTGAGAGTAGAAGCCAAAGTCCTTACAGTGACCCTACACAATCTGCCTGCCATCTCTTCTGTATTTCTGAGCTCACCTCCTAATGTTCTCCCCATCAGTTACTCTGTTCCAGCACACAGACTACTTGCTATTCCTTAAACATGCCAAGCACCCTCCTACCTTAAGATATTTTGTGCTTACTGTTGTCTCCGCTTGAAATACTGTTTCTTCACGTCTATGTGGCTTTTTCCCTTAACTCCTTCAGTCTCTATTCAAATCTTCGTTCAAGTGCCGTTTCTCAGTGAGGCCTTTCTTTACCATCCTATTTAAAAGTTCAACCCACTCCCCTGCCTTATTTTTTTCATAGCATGTATCACCTTCTAACACACTAGTTTACTTTATTGTCCATCTCTCACCATTAGAATGTAAACTCCAAAAGAGCAGGAATTTTTGTTTGTTTTATTCCTTATTGTATGCCCAATGCCTCCCATATAAAATAAGCATTCAAAAAAATTAGCTGAACAAATAAATCCCAGCTATGTTAAACAAATACAGAGAACTATGTGTGTACGTTTATGTGTGGATGTGTGGATTTTTACACAAGGATATATGCCAAATTTTAATGATAATCCTTCCGACATATAAGCGGCAAGGGCAGAGGACAAGTTTGAGGGCAGGCACTTTACTTTTTTCTTTATATACGACTATGTTGTTTGACTTTCTTGCAATAAGCATTAATTACTTTTAAAAGTAAAAATATATATATATTACAAGATGTTCTCTACAAATCAGTAATATAAAATATCTTATTAATTTTAACTACAGGTGTTTATAAAACCAGAGTGTAAATGAAGTGCTAACAACACCTTTCCGTTCCACTAAGAATTTTATTTTCTTTTAACTTTCTAGCTTTGTTCCCCAGAAAATGTGATTAAGATGGTGTATCAATGTGTCAGAAGTAGCACTGCCTGTGGTAAAAATGACCAAATATCAGTACATTATATCTGGACTGAGAAGAATTATAAATACCTGACTTCAGAGCTTTGGCCTTCTCTCAGTGCACTGACTTTTGCAACCGGGCATGTCTTCTGCAGAGACTGCAGCAAGAAATACGGTCTCCTCAAGGGCATGGAGCTTCTAAACCAGGGTGGCGCTTATGCTCACTTGATGTGAGTCTCCTTCCTTCATACACTCTCCAGGGCACTGCCACAAAGACTGCTGTGAGGACTATCCCACTAAGGGGAACACAAGCTCCACTTGCAAGGTGTGTTTTCTGGCCCATGTCTTTTAAGTAAATCTGATACCACGAATGGGTCATCGTAGTCTTGGGATTTAATCAGGTCTTTAGCTGAACATAAGATGACCCCTTGGTAATACTGAATACTGGTGTTAGAAGTGGGGTACACTTGGTTGGGCATGGTGGCTCATGCCTGTAATCCCAGCAACTTTGGCAGGCTGAGGTGGGAGGATCGCTTGAGCCCAGGAGTTCAAGATCAGCCTAGGGAACATGACAAAACCCCACCTCTATAAAAAATACAAAAATTAGCTGCGTGTGGTGGTGCATGCCTGTACTCCCAGCTACTTGGGAGGCTGAGGTGGGAGGATTGCTTGAGTCCAAGAAGCAGAGGTTGCAGTGGGCTGAGATCACGCCACTGCACTCCAGCCGGGGTGACAGAGTGAGACCTTATCGAAAAAAATAAAAAGAAGTAGGATACATGCTCAGACACTTGATTCAATTTGATGAAGGCATCATGAAATTAAGAGACATGCTAACAAGACACTGATGCCTAGATGCAAGGAAATGCTAACCAGATACTGATGTTTAAATGGAGCAGTGACGGGGAGCTGATGACGAACGCTCTCCAGCATGTGACAGGGATAAATTTCCTCCATATGGGGTCTGATGAAGATCAGACTAAAGCCAAGTTTATGCCGAGGGGGAAAATGTCTATTCCCCTCACCATCCATAAAATGGACCCTAACATAAGCTGGACTGGCAGGAATGTGAGGTACAAATGAAAGTAAGCATTAATGCCCGACTGTGGACATGTGAATTAGACAAATAATGATTACCTAACATATTTCAACCCTGTCACTAACATTCTGGTGTTTTAATTTTGGCAACCAACATTTCAAAATGCTAGTCTTCATCAGAATATTTATCATCCAAACGGTCTACAAAATACAAAGATACTAATGAGCCATCTTTAAAGATAAGCAAAAAGGAAAAATGGTCAAAAACTCCTTCTACTGTAATGAATATGTCAAAACCATCAAGTTACTAGCTGGTCATAATTTTTTAAAAAGCTGCAATGGTTCTTTTTGTTTTTAGGAGACAGGATCTCACTCCAGGCTGGACTACAATGGCGTGATAATAGCTCACTGCAGCCTCAAACTCCTGGGCTCAGGTGATCCTCCCCTGCCTCAGCCTAACCAGTAGCTGGGACTGCAGTGCAATAGTGTTTCTGATGAGCACAACAACAGTGAGACCTTCTTCTCCCACATATTTATAGTAACAACCTAGACGTCATTAAATTGAGAATCATACTCATGCCTTTATCCAAATTTCCAATCAGTTCAACTTCAGGACCTACAGGGAAAATATTTACCTTTGATGTCAACTGTGTCTTTTGCATAAAACTCTGTAACTGCCTGGAAAGCATGGCTGTATTCAAAATAAATGTTATCCATCCTTTCAACTCGAATTCTGTCATCCTGCACACTGAAAGAAAAAAAGGAAAATTTCAAAGATAACTTGTCTATTATCATGAAATGCTGGTATTTAGGTCTTGGAAAAAAGATATTTATTCCTTATTCTTTCCCAAGTTGAAGAAAGAGAGAGAAAGAAAGAGCTAAAGTTTCTCTGCCAAAAAGCTCTATTTCATAAAATATTAAAATGAATACTTTTTATTAACTGCTATTTTATATCACCTAGCACATTGTGAGTTATCATTATTTAAAAAGAAAAACTCATTGAAATTAGGGTCCATTATGTTACTAAATATGAAGGGAGAAAAAATGAAAAGCATCATTTCGATTTGATTACGTTATTTGTTTAAATACTCTAGCCACAGAATACAGCACTGAGTAACTCTTTCTTTGAGGGACTTTCTGCTAAATCTGTTTCTATCACAGTCTCCAGTCAAATATAGTAAATTAGGTTAACTCTCACTCTTTAAAGTGATTCTACAGTCCTTCTAAAAATATGTATAAAAATTTGCCTGAGTACATAAACAAAATCATATCATGCTGGGTTAGTGCATTTTCGTTTCCTATTTTTCTTGACTCCCTATTCCTTCCTCCCTCTCTTCTTTCTTTAGCACCTCACTCCCATGACTGTTATCTCTCATGTTAACAGCCTAGAATGAATCTCTCCATATTTTTTCATGTTCATATTTTGGTCATACACAAGCATATCTAATATATGCTCATTATATATTGTTACTATATTATAAAACTGAGATGATTTTATAAACATATTTCTGTGTCCTGTTCTCTTCACTTAATAATTCTTGAAAGTCCCTCCATAAAAATGACCTAGCTACAACTCCTTTTTAATGGCTGAAAAATATTTCATAGTATATAGATGCCACAATTTCTTCAACTATTTCTTTGTTGTTTGATATTCATTTGGTGTTAATGTTTCGTCACATGTTGCTTTAAAACATTTTTATTTAAAAATATAAAACTTTAGTTACAGCTGTAGCCTGCACATGTCCCTCCCTAATCACATCCCTCTACGATTTCCAGAAGGAAACACTGGCTAGGCACAGTGGCTCAACACCTGTAATCCCAGCACTTTGGGAGGCCAAGGCAAGAGGACTGCTTGAGCTCAGGAGTTTAAGACCAGCCTGGGCAACATGGGTCTCTCTACAAAAAACACAAAAATCAGCCAGGCATGGTAGCACATACCTATAGTCCCAGCTACTTGGAAGGCTGACATGGGAGGATCACTTGAGCCTGGGGGGTCAAGGCTGCAGTGAGCTGTGATCACACCACTGCACTCCAGCCTGGGTAAGAGTGAAATTCTGCCTCAAATTTTTAAAAAAAATTAGTCAAAGAAGCAAACATTATCTTGAATGTGATGTATATTACCATGTATGTTTTCATTTTTTATAAAAAACTGTATCATTTCATGCTTTTCATTTTGTATGAGTGGTACTTTATCTTAACCATACAAATTGACTCAATGTTACACTATTTCTAAGATTTATACACGAAGATATATGTACTTTTTAAATTTTAACCGCAGTTAAGTATTTTGTTATTATATTTTCTAATAAATTTAAGATCTGCTTTCTGAATTTATTCACCAGAATTCATCTTTGTGGATAGTGTGAAGTTATAAATACAATTACATTTTCCATATAACTAATGATCAAAGTAGCAATTAGAGAGCATTCCATATGTCTCTGCTGATTTATAATGTTACTTTCACTGCATATTGCATTTCTATATATGTCTTTGGCTTCTCCATGCTGTTCCACTGATCTTTTTGTCTATCTCTGAATCAGGACCACGGTCTCTTAATTTCCAGGGCTTGGCATCTATAGCTAAAGTGGCATGGCCCCTACCTTGCTCTTCAAGATTGTCTTGGCTACTCCTGGACCTTTGATTTTCTTTGTAAATTTTAGGTTCACTTACCTTCTGTCTTCACAAGAAACTTGCTGTGATTATTTTATTTTATTCTATTTTATTTTATTTTAGTTTAGTTTAGTTTATTTATTTATTTATTTTTAGACAGAGTTTCACTCTGTCGCCTAGGCTGGAGTGCAGTGGTAATGGTACGATCAGGACTTACTGCAGCATCATCGACTTCCCAGGGTGAAGCAATCCTCCCTCATCAGCCCCAAGGAGCTAAGACTACAGGTATGTATTACCATGCCCAGCTAATTTTTTTCTATTTTTAGTAGATACGGGGTTTCGCCATGTTGCTCAGGCTGCTGTCAAACTCCTGGACTCAAGCGGTCTGCTCACCTCGGCCTCCCAAAGTGCTGGGATTATGGGCATCAGCCATTGCACCCAGCCCTTATTGGTATTTTGCTTTGATATGTAATGAATTAATTTAGAGAGAAATAACATCTTAGAGATATCACATTATCAAAGCTGGTATATTCTGCTATTCATGTCTATTATATCCAACAGTAATGTTCTGTAATTTTCCCCATGAAGGTTTTATATAGCTTTGGTTGTGCTCACTCTTAGATATGTACACATACCTCTCTCTTGTCTTTATCTGAAACAGAAGCAGGTGTTAGGAGGGGCCCAGCATCAGGGGACTCTACTGCACATTAAAGTTAAAGAACCACTGACCTATACAAATAAAAGACTGGTGCTATAATGAAAATTAGTAGATGATAGGAAAGAGTATTTACAAAGAGTATTCCCAAAGCAAAGCGTATTTCCTTTGGAAGTTTATCTTATGTATATTGATGTAGGTATATCTAATGATCTAAGTACATAAAAAGTTGTCTGTAAAGCTATACTATAAACAACTGAGTTAAGATAATTTAGAAAGTTTCTCAATATTTTTTTCTTTGGCTCCCTATGCAGAACACTTTCTTGGTCTCTACAGAAAACCGAAAAAAGACTTGAAACCATCCCCAGCACAAAAATAAAGCAAGCTTTTTTCTATTTTTATGATTTTCCTTCCTGAGCAAGGAGATCGTATGAGTTGATTTAAAAGTTCAATTACAATGCCTTATAATAAATAAACAATAGTGAAACTTTATTACCTATTTTGCTTAACAACTAGGTTAAAATTCAAAAAGAAGGATTTATGACAGAAAATCTATAGTGTATATATTTGTTTTTACTTCACAAAAACAGTTAAACAAATTCTCATGGGCATATGCCATGCATCAATCACTCTTTCTTAGTTTACAATCTAAGACAACAGACAATAATGTGGTAGACATATGTAAAAGATACAGAAAATACATAAACACAAACGGCTATACCCCATCACAAAGGCAGAACACTCCCTCCCTCAACATTATGAAAAGTAGAAATAAATGTATCATTTCATCAATGTAACACATATTGGTAATTTTTTGGTATTTTTCTTGATATAATATTTTACTGAAATAATTGTTTTTTGTTAGATTCAAGCAGTTTTTGTCTCCCTAAATCCTGCCATAAAAACAGAGAATTTAATAACCAAACTAAAACCCCCATGTACTACATTATGACTGCATCTCAAGATATTAAGAACCCTGAAATGCAAGCAGGTGGGATGAACAATAAGACACAAATGCTATCAGCAACCATGTGAGAAGCAGCAGACAGAAGCAACAGAACTCTAACAATCGGAAAACAGGAACAACACAAAACAGCAACCAGGTACTCACTGGAAAGTATAGTAGGATATTTTGAGGAGCTGAAATTGGGAGTGCAGGTTGTACATTTGATAATAGTGACTACAGGGAGTCCACAGTAAGGCCTGAAGGGGCTTGAGAACTCTAGGCCCTATGAACTCACAAAACCAATGGTGCAAAGCACTTTTTTAGGACAAATCTTACACTGAGGAAAAACTCCTATGAACAGAATCTAAAATGAGGAGAAAAGGGTAACAGGGTAATTGTTAAAAAGACAAAAGTACTACAGAAGAGAGCCAGGAGAAAATAAGCTGTCACATTTGCAAATACTGAACAGTATGCAGCAAAATGAATGAATCTCAAAAATATCGTATTTTGTGAAAGAAATCAAGCCAAAAAAATATTAATATATACTGTAAGATATTCTGTATTTAAAATTCTGTAAAAGGTAAAATATACTGGTGGAAAATTAATAATTGCCTAGGGCCAGATGTGAAGGGAGGGAACCAACTGCAAAAGCACATGAGAAAGTTTGAGGGTAAAAGTATTCTTCCACATCTTGACTGTGATAGTGGTTACAAAATTGTGTAACACTACCACTTACACTTACAGTTGTGTAATCTGTACACTTAAAAATGAATGAATTGTTTATAAATAATACTTTGAGTTAAAAACCACTACCAGAACTATGAAGTCAGAAAAGCTATTTTGAATCTACGCCTCCTCTAAAAGTTTGGGAAAATGAATTTGCATAAAAATGAGTAATAGAAAAGGACCAAACTCAAATCCTGTCCAAAGTTATGATAAGAAATAAGAGAATAAGCACAATAACATCTCTACAGACAATAGAATGTTAGACATCTCCATAAAACATGCAAACCCTAACAAGTTAAAAAAATTATTAAGCAAACAAATTGGACTTAGAAAAACTCAGAAATGAATGGGCAGAACTCAGGAATTAGAGACAAAAGAAAAACTCAGAATGAAGGATAGACTAGAAGGAACACAACTGAATAGATACTACAGATAATAAAGATAAGAAGCAGGAAATGAAAGGGGGAAATTTTTTCAAAGTCAAAAAGAAATGAAAAAGGAGATCTGAAAGATTGGAAGAAAGTAACAAATGGAAAAGGTTGGCAAAGAAGATCTAAAACGTTTATAAAAGGTGCTCCCAAGGTACAAACTTGGCAAAGAGGGCAAAGCAAAGAAATAGAAAAATAACTTGACACTATATATTTAAAAAACACATCACATACCTGGGGAAATCAACCCATAATGACCACCACAATAAGTAATCTAGTAAAATTATTTCCAGCCAAAATGACAAGTTGTTTATAAAAGAAAGAAAAACAGAGTTGCCAAACTTTAACAGCAATGTTTTATACTACAGACAATAGAGTAACAT